AGATATCTTTTAAAATTCTGGCAGTTTAATGCCTACAAAAACGGCTGGTAGGGACTACAACAAGTTACTTCCCGGGTGCGTGATATCACAAACCCAGATAAACCCTGCCCTCGCGAAAAGGCAGCAAAGGGGAGCAGGGGGCATGCTGCGCTGCTTTAAACAATCAAGCCTAGAAAAAACCCAGTGAACCACCCCTTTAATTTGTTAAAACTAAAAAATGTTTGGAAACTTAGGTTTTATTACCTTTTGCATGTTTACACCATTTGACTTTTTTATAGTTGTTCGATCAAAACTGTGTATTATATTAATGGTGTAAAAGTTTTTCCTGTCATTGTGGTGTCTAATAAATGTGTTTTTATGTGTGTGAAGTTGGAGAACATGCTAGGAGGTGACGAGATCTACAAGACCCACATTACCAAGCATTTGGTGCCCTGTATTGCCCAGTTTGCTGTTGCCTTGGGAGATGACTCCCAGTGGAAAGTTCTCAATTATCAGATTCTGCTCAAGACACGACACAGTTCACCTAAGGTACACAAATGCTAAATTAAGAGGTATAAACATACAGAGATAGAGCTGAAGTGATGTTCCAGTGTATGTGGCACCCAGAGTTGAGTATAATGCGTTACATAGTAACGCGTTACTGTATTCTAATTACTTTTTCTAATAACACAGTAATGTAATGCATTACATTTTAAATTTGTCATTTGATTTAAGTTACTAATGTCAATAAAATTACTTTATTTAAAATTACTTTAATTTCAAATGCAGTATTAAGAAAAAATATCAACTAAAATCACCTAATTCATAGTTGTTGCTTGAATCTGCAGCGCAAGGTTACCATAGAAACGTAAGTGGTTTGCCATTGATTAGCGTTGTGACACTTTTTTTTATTTATTTGATATACAACAAAGGAATTGTAATTGTATTTTCTGTAGGGAACTGATTTCTAGTGACGGTTATATTTCTTAACTGTAATATGTTAGTGAAGGGAGACAGCTGGCGAGCCACGTCATTTTTGTCAATGAGCCACAGCCTCCCGACCACTGTGGTAAATGAAAACCAGTGTGCAAAGAGAGCAGTGTTCATTCAAAAACACTGATTGTAGAATTACAGTTTGATAGGCAAATTTATTGATTTAATTTGTTCATCTGTGTGGGTTAATTTACTAATTCTAAATCTATATATTGTACCGTACTGTGCATGACCTGTCAGGGATGTGATTTTTCCATATTTTTCGACCTGAGGCATGTCCCACGTGAGTTGCGTTGCAACTTGAGGCTGTGGGTGAAATACCCTTAGCATCTCAGCCAGGATCCAAAATTAACACTCGACAAGTGCCAAATAAGAGTAAAAATTTGTGTTGCTGAGTATATGAAACAGTGATACTCGCCAGCCAATCACTGGCCACATGCTTCAGAGTGAAGGGCGACATTGTATCATCATGATCCGCAGATTTGAGGTCTCCCAGATGTTTTAACATTTAAAAGAAAAGAAATGAAGGCAGGTATAAATATTAATAGGCTATTGTAATTTTATTGTTTTTCTGTACAATAAAATTATTATTATTTTTATGTAGTGGTATTGAAATTGAAAAAAACAGTTTTTTAATTTTACTTGTTTATAGCTGATCGCACGTCTGATTATGTGAATGTCCTGCATTATGAAGATCAGAGTTTGTGGGAATGATTCAAATTAGTGCCCATTAGTTCAAATTAGTGCCCATAATCTCTTCATTTTAGGCCTCGCTCTAATATGTGGATTGATTTCTCTTTGCCTACATTTATTTTAAACACAGAAGTGAAAATAAATGACCATGTTTGCCTTTTTGTTCAGGTGCGTTTCTCTGCACTTGTCATGTTGCTGGAGTTGGCAAGCAAGCTGAGGGAGAACTACATGGTTCTTCTGCCAGAGACTATCCCATTTCTGGCTGAGCTTATGGAGGGTAAGAACATTACGTCAATATTTAATCAAATGGGAACACATGATTCTGTAACTAAAGTACACTGTGTTACCTAGTGTTATCTTTGTTGTTGCTAGTGTTAGTCTTGTTGCATTTTAAGAACACTTAAATCTGTTTCTTTAACAGTCAGAAATATTCCAGAATTCCGAATTTCTTCCTCCTTGTTTTACAGATGAATGTGAGGAAGTGGAGCAGCAGGTGCAGAAGGTCATTCATGAAATGGAGACTATCCTCGGTGAACCACTGCAAAGCTACTTTTAATTCCACCCGGGACTGATTTCACACCATCACAGGCGCTTCTTACACCCTTTAAGTGTGCATTCATTATCCGTGTATAATATTTAGTGATGAACTGTATTAATTACTGTATTAATTACTAATATTTAGTCAGTCTGCCCACCAGTTCCACCTGTACACCTTCTAACTGACTGACAGCTTGGCCACTACCTTTGTGTCCATGTATATGTAAATGTAAAAAGCCACAAATCACTGGATACCACATGCTTTTGACAGTAGGGTTATATAAAAACGACACGCATGATGTTTAAATGTCTGTTTTTAAAAATGAAATGGTTTTATATAGAATTTTCGAATGCATACTGATGTACCTCTCTGGAATCTGAACATCATAAAAAGATGAGTCTGGAAAATGTGAATTTGTGTTTGGTTGAGAAAAATGTCAAGGTTGAAATGAAAGAAGGCGCCCTAAAGAGAACAGGCCAGAAAATGGAGCGCAGCTGGAAGAAAATAAAACTAGAAGTATTTCGAATATTGTGTAGAAGGATAAGTGTTTCTGCCTGTAGAAAGACCTTAAGAGCTATTAGATTGGCTTGCTTTTTGACTCTTCTAGAAGAAAACAAACACAACTACAGGTGTTTATTTGATACAGTGGCTAAATTAACGTGAAATAGAGCTTCAACAAGTTCAGACATTTCCCAACAGCACAGCGAGAAACAGAACTGAGAAACAATTGAATTCCTCCTTTGCTGTAGGAGAGGAAGAACTGTCTAAATTTGTTAAAACATCCAAATCAACAACATGTATGTTAGATATGTACCTATACCTACTAAACTGCTGAAAGAGATTTTCCCAGAATTCATTGATCCTCTTCTTAACATTATTAATTCATCATTGTCATCAGGATATGTCCCAGAAAATTTCAAGCTAATATAATAGTTATTAAACCTCTCGTTAAAAAAAAACACAACTTGAGCCTAGAGAATTAATTAACTACAGACAGATCTTGAATGTCCGTTTTTTTCAGAAATTCTAGGAAAGGCAGAATCAACGTAATTGTGTATCTGCAAGGATTTCCAGTTGGGATTTATACCAAATCATAGTACTGCTTTCATTAGAGTTACAAATGACTTGATCTTATCAACCAATTGTGTTTGCATCTCAAAAAGTCTTAGATCTTTGAGTTCAGCTCATGAAAAATGGGGGCAAAAACAAAAGTGTTGCGTTTATAATTTTGTTCAGTGTAGTATTACTGGACCTCACTGCATTTGACACTATCCACCAAAAAAATTATGTTGCCATTAGTGAAATTGCGTGGCATAGTTCAAATTGTACTTAACTGACAATTATCATTTTGTAGCAGTAAATGAAAAGGTATCATATCAATCACCCCGTACATGCTACCCTTGGGAGATATCATTAGAAAACATGGCATTAGCTTTCACTGTTTTGCTCATATTACTCAGCTCTATATTTGTGCACAGCCTAACAAATCACAAAATATACCAATTCACAAAACTAATAGAATACATAATTGATATTAAAAAATTGGATGAGTAGTAATTTCCCATTACTAAATCCTAATGCTCATACTAAAAAAAAGATATTTCTGTCATGACAACTCTCGGAGGGATTGGCATGGTAATGTACATGACAATGTTAATGTATTTGGTATTGGCGGAATAGATCTGCTACGCTGCTGCTGATGCTGCGGCAGAGCAAGTACCGAGACTTGCTACTGCCAATACATCCACAACATGCTGCTGTGAGCATGTAAGAAATATTGCTGCTGCAAATATAACATACATGAAATAACCCCCATATAGCATAAATTAATCACCTCGTAGCAGATCTATACAGGTGGAGCTGGGGAAGGTGGAGGGTTTCTGAAGCAACTGCTACGGCAAGCCCTAGTCATATATTTGAATGCTGAGCAGTGAGCTCATTGGCTACCGATACAGGAGATAACCAATCAGCTGTGCCATGTGATAATAATGTCATTAGGTCAGATTGAGTTCGACCTATCGGACTGCGCCATCTAGAGTTTCATGCCAGAACTCTGTATATATATTGGGCCTCTGCATGCAATATACTCTTTAACACTCAATGGTGGACCTGCACCTAGTGATGACCACAACAGCCCTGAATGTTAGTGGAAACCATGACAACTAGACAATCCCAAGAGACTGATCCCCTGTAAAGACCTCATCGTCACGACAGCCATCGGCACAGATCCTCAGCAAAGGCCACAAGAACCAGACAAGTCCTCTGCACAGCCCCTGTAGACAGCTTCAGCTACTCCACCATGTGATGTATCGCAATTTTCAAGCAGAAGGAGAAGGATGAATGTCCTTTGTTTTTTTCTCTCTCTCTCTCCATTTCTGTCACCGACGGAGTTTGGGCTCCTTGCCACTGTCACCTCTGGCTTGCTTAGTTGGGGGCACTTCATATTCAGCAATATTATTAAATTGACTGTACTGACACTATTGGATGAGAACTGAACTGAGCTGGATTATGACATTATTGTCTGCAACAGGGCTGCTTTACAGCTGAATTTATCTCATTTCATAACTGATAATATACAGTTTTTGAACTAAAATTAATCAACACTGAACTGGTCTCAGCTGAACAATGACACTTGTTTTGGGTTTTTTTTTTAAGAGCTGCTTAACAGCAGAATTGATCTCTGCATCATTGAATCAATATTTTCCTTTTAATCCTTGTAAATCTACTTTGAAACAATCTGTATTGTATAAAGCACTATATAAAGGTGACTTGACTTCACATGCAAGTATTGAGTAAAGAGTAATGAACAAATAACATGAACATGGACTTTTTATTCAATATCAGGTTTTTAAGAATAAATTTACAGATTTTTATGAGCGCATAAAAAAAGCTAAAGAATTGGGGAAAACAGTCAGCTACCCAAAAATATATGAAAACGTAAATATAAAAAAAAAAAAACTTTCAATAATTGTTAAACATTAACTAATAATAACATTTATATGGCTACAGTTAACTAAAACTAAAACCATAAAATAACTGTTGTTACTTGAAATAAAAAAAACCTTAACAAATAAAATATTTGAAAAAAAATTATTGTTTAACTTGATGTACTATAAAAACTAAAACTGAAATTATATATATTATTATATATATATAGCCTAATATAAATAAGTGTAATTTCTTGATCCTCAACAGACGTTTATATTTTCATGTGCTTTTTATGTTGAGTTTAAATTCATTCAAATTCATGAATTGAGTTTAAATGAATTCCACTTCGTATGCAAATTAGGCGATGGTGTCATCTAAAATCAGTTATTCCCCATTTACTTTCCTTGGACAAAACAGAAAAGAAACCCCAGGTTAAGACAGAAGAGCGCGAGCAGCCCAATCACTGTCACCGCACAGCGTGTCGTCACACGTCCTGTAATCTGCTTTGATTTTAGAGCCGCTTACTCCAGACTGCCGCTGGATACATTGTAACAGTGATGAAGAGCTTCAGCGGATTACGAGCCGCTTTTCACATATTCAGAAGAGACCTCCATCATCATCACTGTGTGGGAATAATAGGTGCACCTTTCTCTAAAGGACAGGTGAGATATAAAGCCCCAAAACACGTCCTCGTCTCTTTTAAAATAATGATATTCACGTATTAAAAATAAGATGTTTGCATAAAAATCCCTGCATGGTGCAGTATGGTAGTGGTCCAGTGCTCATGTTATTGACTGTGACTGCAGCAGAGGGATGGTGTGCAGAGAGGAGCGGACCTCATTCGAGCTGCTGGATTGGTGCAGAAATTTAAAGAGGAAGGTACCACTACTAACACCTCCTGATATTTACACTGCTTTTATTTACACTATTACCGATATTTACACCCTATGTCACATAATTATACATTGTACTGAATAAAATTAAGAACATTTACTTATTATAGAGTTAGGGTTAGGATTAGGACTTTGTTTAGGGTTGCATATAATTAAGCGTAATTTCTTGCTATTACAATAGTAAGTACATGCAACAAGGACACTGTAAAATAAAGTGTTACTATAATTTTTATATAGGCTATGCTATTTCATATTCAGAAACATTAATTGTATATGTATAATAACTTATATGGTTACACTTTATATTAAGGAGTCCTTGTTGCGCTTGCCTCAAACGGGGGCTTACAATGAATTACAAAGATACATATATATACTTCATGGGATGTTTGTGTTTTAAAAAATGTAAAAATTTGATTAAATGTGGTTAAAATGGATGAAAATATGAAATTGTGACTAGCTATAGCATCTAAAAATATAGACTGTACAGTATATGAATTCATTTAAACTTTAACCTAAATCTTGATGTAAAAATGGTAATTTGTTATTTGTCAACTAGCCATTACACAATACCTGCAACTGCTAATGTGTATTTTAAGGTCAGGTAAACATGCAATTGTTATTTATCATTGCCATTTTTGTAAAAATTGTCTTTATTTGATCTGTCTAACTGTCTGTTGTTGCATAAATGTTTTATAACTTTAAACAAACAGCTAGAGGGACTGATGCCATGCAAGGACAGTAGATCAGTGCTGCCATGTGTGGTTTTTATATATTTACCTAAGATGCGATCTCATAGGAGCAGTAACACTGACGTTGCACCATTCCCCTTTTTGTGTGTATTTGTGTGCAATATTGTGGATTGAGTTCTGTTACTGAATAAGAGTGAAGCGTGTATTTGCACAAACAAACCCAGTAATGTTTAATGCTGTTACTTCAAAACTTGAGTTGACGATAGAACAGAGAACTCTATAGGTCTTTAAAGTTAAATCAGTGACAGACTGGCTAAAATGAGTGATTTATTTAAAGATTCATTCCAAGATTTTTGACATATTTGAAGGATACTTTCAACAGCGTTCATTCAATAACTGAATAGCACACTCCCTAAGTGAACGTTCAGTTTTGTTTTGTTTTTTAACAGCTGTTTAACAGCAGAATTGATCTCTATTTGCATAATTGTATCAATATTTTCCTTTTTATCCTTGTAAATCTACTTTGAAACAATCTGTATTGTATAAAGCACTGTATAAATAAAGGTGACTTGACTTCACATGCAATGGGGTCACTGCACAGTGTACTTGTTAGTGTAATTATATAATCAAGTATTGAGTAAAGAGTAATGAACAAATAACATGAACATGGACTTATTATTCAATATCAGTCTCCAGCCTTCCAGTTTTTTTTTAACCTTTTAAATAATATATAATATTTTTATTATAGATAGTATTATATAATATTAATTGTTTTATTCTATTATTAAATATGTATAATTATATTAACATTTTCCTCTTCACTTCAAAATATAAAGAATAAAGAGGTGAGAGAGAAACACTTCCACAAACTCTCAACCTCATGCCACACTTTTCCAGTTCAGA